TCTCTAATTGCGCCAAACATTATGATTAAGGCTGCTATAATGGTGCTTATCTATCTGGTAAAACAACCCCATCTTTGCCCTTTTTGGGCAATTAAACAAATTTATCAATGGTTAGATTTGCTTTTGGCCTAACCTTATTTTAAGGAAAAAAAAACAATTAACTACAAAGTGAAAGAAATGTACATGTATTCTTGTCCTTGAAACTTGTAAAGTTGTCAGCAAGATTGTCCTATCAAGTTGTTTCATAATGAATTGAACCTTTTTACAAATAAAAGTTTTCGATGAAACATCTAAAGATAAAGTCCATTGACCCTAGCTACTACTAGTTATGGTAGTCATGACTCTCTCAAGTACTTTACAAAGAGTATCCTACTCACTCCTAGATTTTCAATTAGAAATTAGTTGCAAGGTACAAGTCCACTATGAAAAACGGACCTCGCATTATATCACTAACATCCTTAATGGGAGCAAGTTTATGGCCTTAACTATTTTGTCGGTCGATGAGTTCCAACCTCAAAAAAAAAAGAAAAAAACAAGCCACGTTTGGTATTTTGCATTTACCGATTCTATTAGTATATATACTACAATATACGTTTGTACGCGTGCGCATTATCGTGTGCGGGTCTACTGATTGGTAACTGTGAGTGTTTATTGTGTATGTCCACATATACATACATACACACATTTATATACTAATGGTCCCTGATTGGATTATGTTGCTTTAAAAGAGCTCAAAACGTAACTAACTCATCATGACCATGGTCAAGGTCTATTCGATTAAATCAGATTTTTAACAAATGATTTCGACTTTTGATATGTCATGATTGTCATCGATGAATCAAGACAACGCGAGCTTATTATTTCTTTGGACCAATTTTTCTTTTAAAGTTCTTGACTTTAATATAGTATAAGCAAACCTTACTCAATCAACGTTAAATCAATTGATTTGTTGGTTATACTCGGTTAATATTCGGTTTAACAACCCAAACTCGTAGGAGAATGACAGAGACAATTTGAATAATATAAGATTTGGTCAATGAAATAAAATGACGTGTTCTCCAATTTCCATAACCAGCCAAGCCAAAAACCACCAATTACGTCGCCTCCTTGGCCGCTCCTTTCCACTTTCTTCATATTCATTTTCCACCTTTTTATTTTCTAGTTAATTACAATATGACCCCAATATTTTTGTCTTTTAGTCTCTCAAGCCCCTTGAGCAGCCAAAGCCATCATCTCTCAATTTCAGAGCTTTCAGAAGAAAGAAAGAAAAATCAATTATTTACTACTGGTGAGTCTAATCATGAATGCTGTTGAAAAAAATCTGCAAATACTTTTCTTCTCTCAAAAGCTTCTCTTTCTCTCTCCTCTGTGTTT